AAGGCAGGAAAGATACTGGGATTTTTAATTTTTTCTATACTAATAATGGTGGCGATCAGCGAATTATGGCGGCAATCAGCGACATATGGCGGCGATCAGCGACTTATGGTGGGACTGCGGGACTGCGGCGGACATTTTGACACTGGGGGGGAACTGACTTGGGGTCACTGACATCCCCAGTGACACCAATACAGTGATCAGTGAAAAAAAACCCCACTGACACTGTACTAATGTCACTGGGGAGGAAGGGGTTAACATATTTAGTGTTTACTGGGGGGGGGGGGGGGGTGTACTGGACGGGGGGGGGGGGGGGGGGGGGAGGGGGGGGAGCTGATCCAGGGAGAGAAACTCTTCTCTCCCTCTTCAGCTTGTCGGGGAACTGTCACAGAGCAGGGCTGTGTGTAAACAATGCAGCCCTGCTCTGTGTCAGTGATCACCGCTCATCAAGGGAAAACGGCCGGTTACGGCGGCGGAGACCCGCTGCTGACACCCGCGGGACAGGCAGGGCGGGCGCGCACCTCACGTGTGCCCCCTACCTGTTTTGCAGAACCACGTTTTAAAACATGGTTTTGCCTACCAGTGCCGCCCTGCAACTGTTTATATGCGGTGGCTGGGCGGCAAGTGGTTAACATTGAATTAAATTCCCATCCCATTTGTTTGTGAATTGCTCCCAAACCTTAATTACATTTCATGTATAAGTGCCCTTGCTTTCAGCCAACTTAGGAGGCTGATGTGGCAACCAAACAATCCTATCTAGTTATGTTGAAAACACATCAGATCTCAATGTGTTACTTAATGTGTTTTCTATATTAACCCACTTGGTGATGTAAGGCTTGGATGCAGCTGCTTGGCCATGGAAACCCATTCAATGAAACTCTCTACGCACTGTTGTGCTAATCTGAAGGCCACACGTAGTTCGTAGTTTAGCTATTGACACTGCAGACAGTTGGCGACTTCTGTGCACTGTGCGCTTCAGCATGTGCTGACCCTGCTTTGTCATATTACTTGCCCTACCAATTCGTGGCTGAGTTGTTGTTTCGAGTTGCTTCTACTTTTTGTTACACCACTGACAGTTGACCGTGGAATATTTAGTAGCAAGGAAATTTCACAGATGGACTTATTGCAAAGGTGGCAACCTATCACACTTGAATTCACTGAGCTGAGAGCGACCTATTCTTTCACAAATGTTTGCGGAAGCAGTCTGCATGCCTAGCTGCTTGATTTTATACACCTGTGGCCAAGGAGGTGGACTGGAACACCTGAATTCAATGATTTGGATGGGTGTTCCCAATACTTTTGGCAATATAGTGTAAGTTCCCGGAAGCTGTATGGGTAGCATATGAAATCTATATAGGATTTTTGGGACCATTATTATTTTTACAAAATTTATCCGACCTATTCAGGAGAGTGGTCTCCTCAGTTAATCCGTTATATCATTTTCCCTAGTCATCTTCCAGGACAGCTTAACATGAGAGATCCTCCCAGGTTCCACCTTCTTTTCCTATAAGTAGCCTCTCTCCCTGGGGGACCCTCAGTACTAGTGTTTCCTTTCGGGCCAGGAAGAACTGCTCCTGTGTTTTTTTTTTTTTTTTTTTTTTTTTTGTTTATGGTCTTCTGGCAGGGTACAGAGGCCACCTGGATGGGGCTACCCTCCCTAGTTTTATCAAGGCAGGGGCCTTGGGGGGCGGCCTCTCCAGTGTTCCCTGCAAAACCCACCTTTCCTCCAGGGGTTTGGGGTGACTGCACCTTCCTTTTTGGTCCAGCGGGGCTCTCCAGGGGTGAGAGCCCGCTCCACTGGCTTACCGGGAGGGCCTGCTACCCTGTGAGGTAAGGAACAGCCTACCTTGCTCCGCTTCACGCTGACATCCCGGCAAGGAGGCGCGGGCGGATGATGTCATGGCCGGGGATTGTCATTTCCGGCCGGCGGGACCCACAAGCGTCACTTCCGGAGCTTGGACAGGAAGAGGCTCCGCCGCCATCATAAGTATGGACGGAAGGCCTCGATTTTGCCCACGCCACGGCCGCTTCAGCACAACGGCCGTGAGGGGAAGCCAGCGTGCTGGGACCTGATGGCAGGGCGGAGCCCTGCTACCCTTGAAAGTCAGCCGCGCTGAGGGCGGGAAAGCTTGCTGCACTGAATCCTGGGATGGAGGCAGATCTGTCAGAGCTGGGGGAGGCCAGCTGTAAGATGGGCCCACAGGAGGAAGAGAGTAGAGACAAAGAGGTCCTCTGTGAAGTCAAGAGGAAATGTGCTAACTGCAAGAAGAGGCTTGGAAAAAACAGCTATGCCAAGAGTGCATTGACAGGCTGACTAAAAAAGAGTCGGGGTCGCTCTTTAAAGATTTTCTACAAAATATGACGCAGGAAATGTCTCAAAACCTTTCAAAATTTCAGGGAGCAAATGCAGGAACCGGACCTGGACGAGCCCCAGCCAGGCACCTCAGGCGTTTCCCTGCCGGCTAAGAAGAGGAGACAGGACCCGGGTGCCGTTACGGTCCAAGAGGACGAACCTTCCGGTACTTCCGACTCAGAGGAAGGCAAGACGGAAGAGCAGGACCACAGGTCTCAGAGATTCCTTTTTCCGGTAGAGGATAAAGGAAGGTCTCCTGAAGGTAATCTACGATACCCTGGACTTAGAATAGGAACGACCAGATCTCTCTCTACATGACCAGCGTTACGTGGGGCTACAGAAGAAAAGCGCCGCGCATTCCCGGTCCACTCCACCCTATGGTCTACCATAAGGAGGGAATGGGAAGAGCCGGAAAGGAAGGCATTTTTTTCCTAAAAAATCTGAAAAGGCGTTTCCGTTTAAGGACGAAGATGTGTCCATATGGGAGTCCTGCCCGAAACCAGACGCCCCACTTTCGAAGATCTCTACATCCACAGATCTATCGTTTGAAGACAGAGGCTCTTTAAAGGATCCAATGGACCGCAAGGCCGACACATTTCTTAAAATGGCATGGGAATCATCTGTGGTAAACTTTAAACCAGCAATAGCAACTACCTGCGTTTCCAGAACCCTGGATGTATGGCTGGGTCAGCTTCACTCTCACCTGGAACAAGGTACGCCAGCTGAGGAAATTCTCAAGTCATTACCGGTCTTGGAAAAAGCAGTGGCCTTCATCGCAGACGCATCGGCACTCATAACCTCATCCCGTAGAGCCATCTGGTTAAAATCCTGGCAGGGGGATGTCTCCTCCAAATCCAGGCTCTGCAGCGTACCCTTTGAAGGAAAACATGGAGACACTCATCCAGTCTCTTCATCCTATTCCAAGGCCCGATGAAGGGATACAATGCCTCCAAAGGCACCATCGCAAAATGGATGAGAGGCCATCTTGGAAGGATACAAAACTGCGTCACTGGCACCTCTCCCTGGCTTAGAGGCGCATTCAACCAGGGCCACCGCAGCTACCTGGGCGGAAAAGGCTGGGGCCTCCCCCTGACAGATCTGCAAGGCCGCAACGTGGTCCAGCTTCAGCACCTTCGCCAGACACTACCGGTTGGACCTGATCGGCAACGAAGACCAGGCGTTTGTCAGAAAGGTCCTGCGTGCGACAGCCCCCCCCCTAATGTACATATTCCTATTCAATATTCCCATATGAAGCTGTCCTGGAAGATGACTAGGGAAAACGCAGTTATTTATCTGTTGACTGCATTTCCAGGAATCTTCCAGGACAGGTAACTCCCTCCCGATTACTGTGTACTTATATGCTGGTGTTCTGTCATGCAATGAACTAGTGATATATTGTTTCTACTGCCATCTTTATGCTTTCTCCTAGACCTTCGGTCATATTCCTGTACTGAGGGTCCCCCAGGGAGAGAGGCTACTCATAGGAAAAGAAGGTGGAACAGGTGTTTCCTGGGAGGAGCCTATCTCTCATGTGAAGCTGTCCTGGAAGATTCCTGGAAATACAGTTAACAGGTAAATAACTGCATTTTATTAATGGGATGTATTTTATTTTATATAGATTCTTAGAGGACGAGGTTAATTTTATTCCCAGACATTTTAATTCTCTTTCCCTCCATGCTAAGGGGAATTCTCTCTGCAAAACCTTTTTTTTTTCAATTATCGGAAAACATTAATATTCAGAATCTCTGATTTAGACGGGTTGATTTTTAAATTTGATAAATCTCCATAATTGTTCATTATTCTTATTAGATTGGGTAGTGTCAGCCTAGGGCAGTGATGGCGAACCTTTTTGAGCCCGAGTGCCCAAACTGCAACACACAACCAACTTTTTTATTTCATATTTATTAAGTGCCAACACTGGAATTAATCACTTGCCTACCGGGCACTTCTACCCCCTTCCTGCCCAGGACAATTTTCAGCTTTCAGTGCTGTTGCACTTAACAAAGACAATTGTGCGGTCATGCAACACTGTAACCATATGCAATTTTTATCATTTTTTTCACACAAATAGAGCTTTTTTTGGTGGTATTTAATCACCACTGGGTGTTTTATTTTTTGCACTATAAATGAAAAAAGGGCAAAAATTAAAAACATAAAAGGTTTCCTTTGCTTCTATTCTAAAATTTTGCAAACAGGTAATATTTCTTCTTTGATGTGCGTTGGTGAGGCTGCACTGATAGGCAGCACTGATGGGCATTGATGAGGCGGCACAGATAGGTAGCACTGATGAGGCGGCACTGGTGAGCATTGATGAGGAGGCTCTGATGATGCACTGATATGCAGGAAATGATGGGCACTGATAAGCGGCACTGACAGCACCAACTGGAGGCACTGACAGACGGCACTGACCGGCGGCACTGCTGGGCATCATTGATGGGTGGCACTGATGGGCAGCACTAATGAGGTGTCACAGATAGGTGGCACTGATAGGCGACACTGATAATGGGTACTGATAGACAGCACTGATAGGTGGCACTGACTGACATCACTGCTGGGCACTGACTGGCACAACCGCTGGGCACTGACTGGTGGCACTGACTGGCAGCACTGGGCTGGGCTGCACTGGTGGGCACAGGTGGGCGGCACAGGTGGGCACTGGTGGGTGCATTGCTGGGCACAGGTGGGCGCACTGTTGGGCACAGGTGGGCGCACTGTTGGGCACAGGTGGGCGCACTGTTGGGCACAGGTGGGCGCACTGTTGGGCACATGTGGGCGCACTGTTGGGCACATGTGGGCGCATTGCTGGGCACAGGTGGGCGCATTGCTGGGCACAAGTGGGCGGAACTTGTGTGTGGCACAGGTGGGCACCGATCATCAGGGCACTGATGATCAGTGACCCTGATGATCGGTGCCGATCCCTGTTCTGACAACTGCCGGTTTTCGGCAGTACTTTCCTCACGATCTGACAGCGTGAGGAAAGTGCAGCCGAGAACCGGCATTTGCATTTCCCAGGGATCAGCGTGTCATTGGACACGGCTGATCACGTGGTAAAAGGCCGCTGTGATTGGCCTTTTACCATGTCACGTGATCAGCTGTGTCCGCAGGACACAGCGATCACGGAGATCGCCCGGTGCGCGCCCCCGGAGGTGCGCAGGAGAGCGCGTTCTCTTCCTCTCTTCCTCCTGGCGTGCCCACTGAGATGGCTCTGCGTGCCAGCTCTGGCACGCGTGCCATAGGTTCGCCATCACTGGCCTAGGGTTTACTACATAAAATAGCATATCATCAGCATATGCTGCCACTTTATGTTCTATCTCTCCTATCTGTATTCCTTTTACATCCAGACTGTTTCGTACAGTTGCCAGCAGAGGCTCTAAAGATATGACAAACGGGCAAGAGCGGACACCCCTGTATACATTTAAAAAAAAACTCTGATAACGAGCCATTGACCTTTACTGCGGCTGATGATGGTTGGCTGTAAAGCTTTCCTATCCACTCTCTCATTTTGGGACCAATTCCCAAAACCTCAAATGTATCCGTCATAAGCCTCAATCTACTCTATCGAAAGCCTACTCAGCGTCTATTTATAAGATCAATACAGGGTTTTTTTCTCTTTTTTTCTATAAGGAATAATGATCTCTACAGGGATGTGCAATTCATATCGCCCAACGCCCGGGACATGCAGTTCCAGGCTTCGGGCAGGTGGCTTTTATTTACATTTAGCCCTGCTGTGGGCAAGCAGCAGGGTTTACATTTTTTTTTTTTTGCACAGCGGACACCGTTGTAGCATGAACAGATCTTCATGCTACACCAGAGTTAGCAGGCTCTCCACTCACCTATGCTGCCTGTCCAGTGCAGGCAGTCCCCTTTCCGCTGGCCTCTCACTAGCTCAAGGGCTCCCTCAGCCCATCCACTCTGCTTGGCGGCCCCATTCAGTCCTGGCAACTCCCACACTTCTCTTACTCTCCTGGCCACTCCCACACTACTTTTACTCTTCTCCTCCTTCTTGGATACACTGACAAGCTGCCCTTCTCGCACCCCCTCACCTCAGCACTCGCACTCCTTCTCTCAATTTGTATCCCTCTGTCTGAATACACTCTTCTGCAAAACACACGCAGGGCGGGTGGCCTCAGGACCCAGACCACCATACAGAACATATCAATGGCAGCACACATTAACCTCTGTCCTATTACTACTTATCTACTCCACCTGCCACATCCACATACTGCATTGCACTTTTTGATTGCTGAACCTAGGGGTAATCAGAGGTGGCATGCCACCTTGAACCATCCCCGCACTCACAATGCCACTTAGGACAAACCCCACTCTCAGCAGCACACCTCTATAGGTATGGTCAGAGGCTTGATTGCTAAATGAAGTGATGGTCAGCCTTAATTAAATACGGTTTTGGTTAAAAAAAAATTTTTTATCAGGACAAGTAGATTGTCGTGAGGGACAAGTAGACTGGGACCCCGATTTAGTCTCTTGGACAAGTAGTTTTATAAAACAAATTTCCACACACCTGATCTTAGCCCATGGTCTCTTCCCTCCCAGGGATGAATCCTACTTGATCTAAATGAATCCATTCCGGCATGAAGACTTTTAGCCTAGTAGCCAGAACTTTCGCATATAGTTTTGTATCAGTATTTAACAGTGAGATAGGCCTGTAGCTGGCACATTGGGTCCTATCTTTCCCCTCTTTCTGTATGATTGTAATATGTGCTTGCAATGACTCCTCCCTCATTTCCATTCCACCTCCTAGTACATTCATATATGTACACAGTTTAGGAACTAATTGTGTTTTAAATTTCTTATATCTCACAGTATACCTGTCTGGCCCAGGACTCCTCCCCTCAACTGTACCCTTTAGTGCCTCCTGGATTTCCTCCTGTATTATTGTTTTTTCTAAAAGAGCTAGGTGTTCCTCTCCCAATCTCGGTAGTCCCGCCTCTTTTTAAATACGTCTTTCTTTTTCTAATTCTTTCTTCTCCTCCTTTTAGGATTTTCGGGTTCACTTCATACAACTTCCTATAATATTTTTTGAATGCAGTAGTGATATCAGTGGTTGAGTACACCATTTCACCATTATCTTTAATTTTCTCTATATAATTCCTCAATTTCTTATTTCTCAGTGCTCTCATTAAATATTTTTTAGGTCTATTCCCCCAGTGATATTTCTCTTGCCATCATGTTAAATATTCTCGTTTCTTGCTACATTAAATTATTTCATCTTTTTTTTATTTTTTTTATTTTTTATTTATTTTCTCTTGTGTGTCTTTTACTATTTTCTTTTTATGTACTTCTTCTAGTTCATAAAGTTCCCTTATTAACGTATCTATTTTCTTTTGATATTCTTTCTTTTTCTACTCCAATTGCTATCAAAATTCCCCTCATATATGCCTTATTTGCTTCCCACACCATAGCAATTGAGACTTCTTCAGTCTAATTTATTTCAAACTATTGTTCCTTTTATTTATTTATTTATTTTTTACTCTCAGTTCCATCTTGTGATCCTGGAGGAGTGTCTCATTTAGTTTCCACATATTTATCTTCTGTTGCTCTTCCCCCTAATAACTTCATTGTGACAGGTGCATGGTCCAATATTGTAACTTCTATATTTACTTTAACCAACGACTCCCAAGAGTCTATGTTCTATCAGTATAAAATCTAATCTTGAATACGTCGCATGTGCAGGAGAATAGAATGTCTATTCTTTATCTGGGATGTTTAATTCCCCACACATCTATCTTGTGACTTTTATCGGTGTCCAGCAGAGCACATGTTAAAGCTTGTAGGAGGAGTTTTCTTTCTGCTCTAGGAGGATGCAGAACCCCTGACCTCTGTCTGGACAGTGCTGATTGGCCCTGTGCTGATCTCATGCGATCTCCCAAAAAAAGAAAAAAAAACCTCTACCAATACACACCAAACTGAGCATGTGCAGAGTGACTCCACACGTTGTCTTATCAGGAGATAAGAGGGGAACACTTGAAGAGGAGAGGAGAGAGAAGTCAGGCTAAAACAGCCTTTTTACGAAATGCAGAGGATTAACCCCTTAGGTTCCACAGTGAGTATAACAAGCATGCTTTACTGCATATACACACTAATTTTACTGTTCTGGGTTTAGTAACACTTGCAAAGAGTCAATATTTTCAGTGTTGACCCCTCTTTTTCAAGACCTCTGTAATTCGCCCTGACATGCTATAAATCTGCTTCTGGGCCACATCCTGATTGATGGCAGCCAATTCTTGCATAATCAATGCTTGGAGTTTGTCAGAATTTGTGGGAATTCTTTTGTTCACTCGCCTCTTGAGGATTGATGACAAGTTCTCAATGGGATTAAGTTTTGGGAAGTTTCCTTGCCATGGACCCAAAATTTTGATATTTTGATCCCCAAGCCACTTAGTTATTGCTTTTGCCTTATGGCGAGGAGCTCCATCATGCTGGAAAAGGCATTGTTCATCATCAAACTGTTCTTGGATGGTTGGGAGAAGTTGCTCTCGGAGGATGTTTTTGTACCATTCTTTATTCATGGCTGTGTTCCCACTCCCTTGGCTGAGAAGCAACCCCACACATGAATGGTCTCTGGATGCTTTATTGTTGGCATGACATAGGACTGATGGTAGCACTCACCTTTTCTTCTCCAGACAAGGTTTTTTCTGGATTTCCAAAACAGAAAGGGGATTCATCAAAGAAAATGACTTTATCCTCAGCAATCCAATCCCTGAACCTTTTGCAGAATATCAGTTTGTCCCTGAAGAGAAGTGGCTTCTTTGATGCCCTTCTTGACACAGCCCATCCTCCAAAAGTCTTCACCTCACTGTGCGTGCAGAAGCACTCACACCTACCTGCTGCCATTCTTGAGCAAGCTCTGCACTGCTGGTTCCCCTGATCCCACAGCTTAATTAACTTTCGAAGATGGTCCTGGTGCTTGCTGGACTTTCTTCGGCACCCTGAAGCCTTCTTCACAACAATGAAGTTCTTGATGATCCAGTAAATGGTTGATTTTAGATGCAATCTTAGTAGCAGCAATATCCTTGCCTGTGAATCCCTTTTTTGTGCTATGCAATGAAGACTGCACTTGTTTCCTTCCTAATAATTGTCATTCTCAAAACTTTTGACCAGGGCTGTATGTGTATGGATAAAGGATAATATTTTGTGTCATTTTAAGGTAGTGTGATGTATCTATAGCTTTTGTATTATTTTAAAATGACATGTAAGCTGACAAATAATGTATACTCGTCCATCCTTACCTCTCCATTCCAGCAAAATCTTTGCTTCATTTCTCTAATGGAGCAGGGTCTTCTGGTATGGAGGAGAATATTACCTCCCTTGTGTGATAGTGCTCGAGCCTGGGCCACAAATTGTAAAGACCTGAACACTGTCATCTGCGAGAAGTATTGTCATCCACACAGGTAAGTTTCAACACTGGTGCTTTCCCAGGATAGACTTGTGAAGCAGTCAGGCCACTCGGGAGCCTGGACAGGTGCGTGCTGGGGATGAGGGTCCAGGAATCGCTGTCACAACACTTGTCCTGAACAAGCTGTGTATTTTAAAGAGCACAAATGTATTTCTGTGAATGTATCTAGCTTGATGCAAAGAACTCTTCCTTTTGCCTCTTTTGTAGAGGAGACATAGGAAACAAGCGCCTAGCTTTCGCAAATTGCTGAAGACCAGCAAACTCAAGCTTGAAAATAAGTTGAAGAACAAGCAGTACAAACAGGAGAGCTCTGCGAAGAAACACAGGAAAGAACAGAAGAAGCTGCGGGAGGCTGTGCGGGATGTCAGCTCTAAAAGACCTGTCCCCCTGGAGAATGTCAAGAAGAAACAGCCAGGTACCAACAGGAGTACAATATGAATGTAGCTTTTGATGAATATTAGTGCACAAGGTGCTCTTTGCACTATAAATTAAATGGAAACTGTAATATTTATGATTGCTTTTAGATGTGTGTAACAGATCAACTAATAAACACAGAACCAAAAATGTAATAATTTGCAGTCCAACAATCCT